GTGAGCCACAGCGCCCAGCCTGTTTTTGTACAGTTTGAGTCAAAGTTATAAGTGTATCCATCACCCATATGGTGTGCATTGTACCCATTAGGTGTAAATTTACTCATTCCCTCCTCACCCCTCCCACCTGCTTGATTCCCATTGAATTTTACTACCATATGTGCACATGAGTGTTGATCTATAAGTTTCAATTTAGTAGTGAGTACATATGGTTTTTGTTTTCCATTCTTGTGATACTTCACTTAAAAGGATGGTCTCCAGTTCCATCCAGGTTATTACAAAAGGTCCTAGTTCACCATTTTTTTTTATGGTTAATACTCCATGGCACACATATACCACATTTTATTGATCCACTCATGTATTGATGGGCACTTAGATTGATTCCACATCTTTGCAATTGTGAATTGTGCTGCTATAAACATTCAAGTGCAAATGTCTTTTTTATAAAATGTCTATTTTTCCTTTGGGTAAATACCCAGTAGTAGGATTGCTGGATCAAATGGTAGGTCTACTTTTAGTTCTTTGAGGTATCTCCATACTACTTTCCATAGAGGTTGTACTAGTTTGCAGTCCCACCAACAGTGTGTAAGTGTTCCTTTCTCTCCGCATGCACATCAGCATCTGTTGTTTTGGGACTTTTTGATAAAAGCCATTCTTACTAGAGTTAGGTGATATCTTATTGTGGTTTTCATTTGCATTTCCCTGATGATTAGAGAGGTTGAACATTTTTCATATGTTTGTTGGCCATTAATCTATCTTCTTTTGAAGAGCTTCTGTTCATGTCTTTTGCCCACTTTTTAACGGGATTGTTTGATGTTTTCTTGCTGATTTGCTTGAGTTATTTGTAGATTCTGGTTATTAGTCCTTCATTGGGTATATAACATGCAAATATTTTCTCCCATTCTATAGATTGTCTGTTTGCTCTGTTGATTGTCTCCTTGGCTGCACAGAATCTTTTTGATTTAATCAGGTCCCATTTATTTTTGCTGTTGCTGTGATTGCCTTTGTGGTCTTCTTCATAAATTCCTTGCCTAGGCCAATATCTATAAGAGTTTTTCCAACTTCTTCTAGAATTCTTATAGTTTCAAGCCCTAGGTTTCAGTCTGTTATCCATCATGACTTAATTTTTGTGTGGGTGATGATCAGGTCCCATTTATTCTTGTTGTTGCTGTGATTGCCTTTGTGGTCTTCTTCATAAATTCCTTGCCTAGGCCAATATCTATAAGAGTTTTTCCAACTTCTTCTAGAATTTTTATAGTTTCATGCCTTAGGTTTAAGTATGTTATCTATCATGAATTAATTTTTTTGTGGGTGATGAGAGGTGTGGATCCTGTTTCAGTCTTCTACATGTGGCTATCCAATTTTCCCAGCACCATTTATTGAATAGGGTTTCTTTTCCCCAATGTATGTTTTTGTCTGCTTTGTCAAAGATCAGATGGCAATATGATGATGGTTTTATGTCTGGTTTCTCTGTTCTGATCCATTGGTCTAGGTTTCTGTTCTTGTGCTAATATCATGCTGCTTTGGTTACTACAGCTTCTTAGTATAGCTTGAAATCTGGTAAAGTGATGCCTCACAATTTGTTCCTTTTGCTTAAGGTTGCTTTGGCTATTTGGGGTCTTTTCTGGTTCCATAACAAAGCATAGAATTATTTTTTCTAGATCTTCAAAAAATGACATTTATATGTTAATGGGGATTGCACTGAATCTGTAAATCACTTTGGGTAGTATAGACAATTTAACAATGTTGATTCTGCCAATCCATGAGCATGATATGTTTTTCCATTTGTTTACATCCTCTGTGATTTCCTTGCTCAGTGTTTCATAGTTCTCCCTGTAGAGGTCTTTCAACTCCTTGGTTAAATATATTCTTAGGTATTTTATTTTCCTTGTTGCTATTGTGAAAGGTATTGAGTCTTTGATTTGATTCTCAGCTTGACTGATGTTGGTGTACAGGAATGCTAGTGATTTATATACAGTGATTTTGTAGCCTGAGACTTTGCTGAATTTATTTATCAATTCCAGGAGTCTCTTGGCAGAATCTTTGAGGTTTTCTAGATTTAAGATCATATCATCAGCAAAGAGCAATAGTTTGACCTCTTCTTTCCCCATTTGGAGATACCCTTGATTTCCTTCTCTTGCCTGATTGTTCTGGCTAGGACTTCCAGCACTATGTTGAATAAAAGTGGTAACAATGGGCAACCTTATCTGGTTCCAGTTCTAAGTGGGAATGCTTTCAGTTTTTCCCCGTTCAGTATGATCTTGGCTATGGGTTTGTCACATATGCTTTTATAATATTGAGATATGTACCATCTATGCCTATTTTGTTAAGAGTTCTTATCATAAAAGGGTGCTTAATTTTGTCAAATGCTTTTTCTGAGTCTATTGAGAGGATCATATGGTCTTTGGTTTTGCTTCTGTTTATGTGGTGAATCACATTGATACATTTGTGTATGTTGAACCATCCTTGCATCTCTGAGATGAAGCCCACTTGATTGTGGTGGATTATTTTTTTTGACGTGCAGCTGAATTTGGTTTGCTAGGATTTTACTGAGAATTTTTGCATCTATATTAATAAAGGATATTGGTCTGTAGGTTTTCGTTTGTTTTGTTGTGTCCTTTCCAGGCTTTGGTATCAGGGTGGTATTGGCTTTGTAGAATGAGCTGAGGAGGATTCTTTCCTTCTCTGTGTTATGAAGTAATTTCTGCAGTATAGGTACCAGTTCTTCTTTGTAGATCTGGTAAAATTTGGCTGTGAAACCATCTGGTCCGGGACTTTTTTTGGTTGGGAGATTTTTTATTGCTGCTTCAATTTCATTACTTGATATTGGTCTGTTCAGAAGTTCTATTTCTTCCTGACTGAGCCTAGGGAGGTTGTGTGTTTCCAAGAATTTGTCCATTTCCTGAACAAGTTTATGTGCATAGAGATTTTTATAGTATTCATAGATGATATTTTGGATTTCCATGGTATCAGTTGTAATATCTCCCCTTTCACTTCTGATTGAGCTTATTAGGGTCCTTTCTTTTCTGTTTCTGGTTAATCTAGTGAGAGGCCTCATCAATTTTGTTCATCTTTTCAAAGAACCAGATTTTTGTTTCATTAATCTTATGTATAATTCTTTTATCTTCAATTTTATTTAGTTCTGCTCTGACCTTAGGTATTTCTTTTCTTCTGCTGAGTTTGGGATTGGTTTGCTCTTCCTTTTCCAATTTGTTGAGATGATTCATTAGATTATTGATTTGTGATCTGTCTTTTGCGTATAGGCATTTATGACTATGAATTTTCCTCTTATGACTGCTTTTGCTGAGTCTTACAGATTTTGATAATTTGTGTCCTCTTTGTCATTTAGTTCAAAGAATCTTTTGATTTCCATTTTAATTTCCTCCTTAACCCAATATCTATTCAGCAGTAGATTGTTTAATTTCTAGACTTTGTGTAGAGTTGAGTGGTTCTGTTGGAATTGATTTCTAATTTTATTCTACTGTGGTCTAAGATACATGATATAGTTTCTATTTTTTAAAATTTGTTGAGGTGTGTTTTGTGGCCTAGAATGTGATCAGTCTTAGAGAATGTTCCAT